GTGGCAGAAACCGTAGTGTTGGACCCTTTGGCACAGGGGGTGACACAAACACACACACACACACTTGAGAAGCTTGCTCCGCGGAGCTTGTCTTCAGGCAATTCGCGGTGAGCATTAGCCCTTTAAGTGAATACTTAGCTCTTGACTTGCAAAACCGCAGGAGAGAAAGGTCAGCGCAACTGAATGATTGAACAAACGCATTGGCTCTTTAGGATATGTTAAACAATTGGTGCAGGTACGTGAGAGTGATCAGCTCTCATATCCCGTGCGTCAGGTAGCTTCATTGGACATGGTCCCTGAACGCACGCCATGTCCCCCTGCTGTTGTTCTGTACAAACATGAAAGATCCGGCTCAGGTAAAATAGATATAGCTAGAATAGGTCCCTTCGAGACAGGGGTTGACACACACAGAAAGCCGACACCAGCGCAGCTAGCATAGATGGTCGTAAGCGATCGAGTTCTTTGTTCAACAGGCTGTAGCAAGCAAGCTGACGTTTTTGGCTCGACGGGGCCGCAACGCTGCAGCGCAATGTTCTTTGGAGTGACCTTTTGTCACATAGAGCTGCACCAACTGTTGTGAGGTAGTTTGCGCCGTGTGGGGTGGGTATGTATATTGTTGAAGGGTGTGGTGTCTGGATTGTAGGCCTGAAAGGCGTAATCTGTGACTGCCTGCGGATTGTATGTCCCGTATCTGCCACGGGTGAGTGGGAAGTTGGAAGGTGACCGTTCTGTTGAGTGGGTCTATGTGGAAGCCGAGGAGATGGTCGTCCTCGACCGGCTCGATTTCAACTGGATGTTCGTAAAAATAGGGGTGGGCAAGTGTTGTGATTGGTAATGATTGGCGGAAATGTTCGTTGAGTAGGATGTAGCGATTGTCAACGTATCGTGTGTTGAATAAGTGGAGGCTGGGTTGTAGTAGAAAAGTGTGATATGTGTGGTGCCAAGAATGTTCAATGAGAGTGATTGCTACGTTGCAAAGAGCTGGAGAGAGCTGGCTGCCGATGCCTGCTCCTTGGATTTGTTTGTAGTAGGAATTGCAGGCTTGAAAAATGCAGGATTGTAGTGCTTGTTGAACAATGAGTGGAATGTGCTTGGTGTCAAGTGTACGTTGTTGTGGGTGATGAATGTAGTGTCTGCCTATGTGGGAGTGTTGTATGGGGTTGCCTGTAGATTGAATGTCAATAGAGAGTGTGGTTGTGGGGTGTTGAGATTGCCAGCGTGTGCAGAGGCTAATGACTGCGTCGACCAAGCGTTGTTGGGGTACGCTGTTGAAGAAGCCGACGAGATCGTCATTGATGGCTGTGAGATGAATGTCATCGGGTGTGGTGTGGAAGTGTGTGTGGAGTTGTTTCCACAGGTTGGGGATGGAAAGCTGTCCTGGATGTTGAGGGAGGAGGTGTAAAAGCATAATGTCGAGTGCCTTGGATGTTGCTCGAAGGAGTGTGCCGGCGATGGAACGGAAATAGCTGATGACTGTGCGGCCTTTCCGCCAGGACTTCTTCTGTTTGAGGAATACGACCCCTTGTGGTGTGTGGGTAAGCTCGGCGGATGCTGGCTGGAAAAGATTGTGCAAGGAGGGTGTGTAGTTGCTCTTGTGTGAGGTGGGGTAGTGGTTGAAATAGTTGTGGCGTGTTCCAAGTAGTGAGGCAGCCGTGGAAGTAGTGCTGTGGACAGAAAATGCGGAGGTTCTGTAGCTCGTGATCTGCATGGTGTAGGACTAGTTTGTCTGTGAGAAATTGCTGAAGTTGTGTGACATTGCGGGAGGTGAATCGAGGTGTGTGGTGTAGGCTAGTAATGTGCTGTTTCCACTGATGTTGCAGGAAAGTCTGGCAGTGTTGGTGTAGGGATTTGGGGAGGCCCTGGTGTCGAAGCCATTGCGCTAAGGTGCTATGAAAGTGGTGAAAAAATTGTGTCTTGGTGGGAAAGTATGTGCTGTTCATGTTGGCTTGTAGAAAGAGGTGAAGGTGACTGGGAAGTTGAATGTTTTCGAGTGTGAGGACATAGTGGCCGTCGTGCATGGGAGTGTGGTCAGGATCTTTGAGTAGTGTGTGCAAATGTGAGCAGCTGCAAGGCATGTCGGTTGCGGTGGGGTGAGTGGTGAAGTGATCTTCCCACTGCTTGTGGTTGTACAATCGTGACCGCAGAGTCTTGTGTGCGGCTTCACGGAGTTTGGTTGTGGGTGGGTGAAAGGGAATGATGTGGTGGATGTGGTGTTGTACAAGAGTGCGAAGCCATTTCTCAGTGTCGGACTGGAAATTTGTGTTTGCCAGAAAAGGAATGGTGAGAGGTTTGTTTGTTTTGGGTGTGGTGAGGTTGCGGAAAGTGAGAGCTGAGTGTAAGAGATGTAGTACTCGGGAGCGATCAGGCTCTTCAAGGCTGGCTGCCATGCGGCGAAAAGCATAGATTTCAAGGTCAGTGTATTTGCCGCTACGAATGGCGGTGGAAGTTTCAAAGGATGAGCGTGTGTGTTTGCTGAGTTCTCGGAGAACGGTGAGAGCGTGCAGGCGTTGGCTTGTGTGTAGAGTGGGTTGTTTTATCGCTCGTTGTCTGCGTCGTAGTCTTTGAAAAAGGCGTTTGCGAGTGGCCATGCGGGTGAAGTTGGTGCGGTGTTTGGCAAATTGCCAGCCTGATGCTTTCAAGTGGAGATGGCGTTGTATGTATGGCCAGTTGAGAGTGGGTTGCCAATCTTGAATGTGCAGGTGTTCGTAGGTCCATGCTTGATCGTAGGTGTCGTGATGGAAGAGGTAAATAGTGCTGTAGTGGTGGAGATTGTTCTTGGAGTGCCAATAGCGGCTGCTGACTTACCCAACTCCGTCTGTCCACTAGCATTGACAATTTTTCCGAGATGGTAAGCCAGATAACCAAAGTATATACTGTTCTCAATGTCCAAAGGATACAACAACCTGCTTTTAGCGGGCTCACGCTTCAGAAATGATTTGCTCATCATTCTTTTCGGCTTTCTGAAGAACTCTGCGAAATCCTCCACCTCGATGGTCATCCTCTTAGATCCCTTGGCTTTCGTCTTTCCAAATCACACACACACACGCAGTAGACACACCCTCCAGCCAGTTCGGCGCGCATCCTTCGGTTCCACGAAAATATCGGTGCTTCACTACGCCCAGCCCCGGAAGGTGATGTGGAATCTCTGGGAGGCAAACACAAGAACGCCATCCCTCTCTTTGCGAATAGGTGTGAGAACATCCGTTCTAAAACCACAGAAATGATCTCATGAAGCTTGGCAATTCCAACACAGAAACTCAACACGGATCAGAAGTCCAATCATGTGGCTTCTTAAAACCCAGATCGGCAGTTGTGCAGCGATCACACCTTGCCTGGCACATGCATTGGTAGAGTTTCCCGTTTCCCTCAAAGCAATCCTGGAAACAGAATCATCATCATCATCATAACTCCATTCCAATAAGGTGTTTGCTCGTGCTGCACCAATTCTTTACATGTTTCATGCAGGCTAAGTACCTTATTGGGGGCCAGGCCTCCTTTACGTCCACCGTGGAAACCCACGAAGCCAAACTGGCCACCTGCCTGCGTGCGTGGTTGGAGTAGGTCGTCCAAGCAGCCTCCAGTCAAAATTGTCGACGTCCGATGGTCGGAGCCTCTGAAGCAACACAAAAAAAACCTCCGACAAGGACAAGACCATCCATACCAGGACCTTCCAAGCGGTGGTTTTTGGACACCCATTAACTAAGAGGCCATTAAAATACACCCCAAATGGAAGGTCCTGGTATGCGGCAGCTGGGTCCCGGTTTCGGGCATGACCTCGCTACCGGGTGTCGGTCAAACCAGTCCAACCCAGAAAAACCCACACAAACACATATCTTTGAATTCAAAGCGTGACCTGTGGCCAACTCATCGATCGCGATCGACTTGTACAAAAACAAGTTTTACAATGCTACTCCAGCTCTACCAAACATGTAATTAGATGGTTGATGAACGTTGATAAGCTCTATCAGAAATGTAGATGGTTGATGATGTTGATGTTTCACCCCCCCATACCAGCTCTACATCTCGAGGCTTATAGTGGCTGCCATTAATATATGGGTCGCACCTGGAGCCCGTTTCACCCTCATTGGCTTCCCAGGTAGTCCATTCTGTTGCTTTTCTGTGGTCAACCGGTCCGTCCCCGCCGCATAGCCATATCTACCTAGCACTTCCTGTGTGGGTGCCCCAGACAGGGAGGCCTATTTACGTCGGGTAGGGTAGTCTATTGGACACCCAGACACCCAGGATGATCCTGATAGTCAACTGTCGCCTCCAAGGAGTCGACTCCTGGCAGGCTGAGGTGGTCGACTCCTCCCTCGTCGAAAGGCCTGGCTCCAAGTCGGCATCGCTCAACTGCTGCCCCTCCATCGGTGCCATGTTTCGTGAATCTGCTGCTACGCGTGGGGCGGAGAGGGGCGAAGGTCGATGGTGGAACTGTTCGAGTACAATGAACTGAGTTGCGCTGAAGGAATAGACCCCCTCTGAACTGCTGGGTTGTTTGTGGCCAATCGTTATTTTTGTTAAACCACCAGGTTGGGATTTGAGCCAAGAGTCTTGACGGGAATGTAAGATCGCAGGGCTCCATGGACTTGTATACTAGTCATGCTTGGATGCTTGTTCACGCAGTAAGTGGAGGGCAAGTTTGAAGAAGCCTTCGAGCAATTTGCATGGATCGAAAGGGTCTGGCAGTGTCTGCTGAAGCCAATAGCCACGGATCTGAGCGAAGGCAAGGACCCGTTTTGGAAGTTTCTGAGCGAGGGCACGTGACGTGAACATGTGTTCGGACAAACAAATGCGCGAACTCAAATGGCATGGCTCCAGGTTGGATGAACTGAAAGCCTACAATGGCCTACAAGTCAACGACCTCATTTTATTGGAGTTGGTCATACAAACACTCAAGGAGGTCAAAGACCAGGTTTAACTAGGTCTGACTGGACTTGTAGGGAAAGCAACCAACAAAAACATGAAGCCCCTGACATAGGTGGAGACCTTCTGAAGGCCTTTCCCATCAATTCTTGAGAAGTCATTTTTTCAGGACGACTAGAAACCATCTCCAAGAGTCCAAACTACACAGATCTGCTTCTTCAGCTGAGCCAACTTCGCTGGAAGCTGTTCATTGGTCTACTGGCTTAGCTGCTAGGGTCTGATGGGGAAGGGAAGGTCAATTATCCCATAAACCAGCAACTTGCAATCCTTTCCCTGCTCCTCTTACCCAAGTTACCAACTTAACCTGAGCCGCTACATGGCACAGTTCCAGGGCGTCTTACACCCGGTTAAAAATCACTTCCAAATCCAACCATTGGAAACCCAAGCACGCCATGCATGTATGTTACCAATTATTGGGATGGTTGAAACGGGGTCAATGTATGCAAGTGTGCCAGTCCGATGGAGTCTCCGGGTTATAACATGTTTAAACCGTTCAAGCTGGACCTTCGATGCATGCGGCGCCATACGGCAAATCATTGGGAAAACCATGACACCCAAGTCAATCTGGATTGACACTTCCATTCGATGCCATGATCCCACCAAACAAAATATGGTGGAGCTTGGTTTTGCAAAGTAAAATGATTAACCATGGTTCCGGAACTACAAACAGCACTACATCCAATCACAAAAAACCAATCACCGAAGCTGTAGTGTCCCACAAGTTGCTTGGAAAGCTGGAGATCCAGGAATGAAACACCCGCAAACTTACGTTGGACACAGCTAGCACCTTAGGGGTGAGGCAGGGGGGTCCATCGAATGAATGATCTTGGAATTTCAGTGAATCAGGATCACCTTCCTTGGATTTTTTTTGATTCTCTGCTACGTGTGCAAACATGTCTTCTGAGACATGTCCAGCCGTGTCGCACTGAAATAACCTTTGTTGACCTACCTGGAGTGCCGGTCGTTCCCTACAAAAGGTGGAGCCCGGGTCCGGGGTTTGCCCCAGGTGTTGAGCCATCCCCCAAATGGGAACCACCCAAGGAATAACAGCAAACTAGCGTTGGCCTCCAAACTTTGATCTGCAGATCCCTGGTTTCTTTTGCTTGGGCCCTCTTGAAGGGTCCTTTCAATCCTTTTTAGACCTGGGGATGCCTTTAGACCAGGCTGTGTACTGAAACAAGCAAACCCAGGGGCTGTGTATTTGACGGCCCGGTCAGATGAACATCACCGATCCGCCCAAGAAAGCGGGATCAAAGAGCCCCCCTCCGTCCGTCTCCTTCAAATACCTGGTCCGAGCATGGCTGAGGTCATCCAACACCTGAGAGTGAGGCATTGGCAGTCTTTTTGTGGTGCGGCGTCTGTGCCATCCGCAGCCCCTAGTATTGAGAATTCGCAGTGTTTGCATTAATTGTTAACCAATAATTGGTCAATTTTGTATAAGTTGGCAAAAGGTAAGTGACAAAACATATTTTTGTTTGAACACATATATATATATATAGGTACAAAGGGATCTGCTATTATGGAAATACAGTGACTTTAAACGGGAAACTCATAAAATAATGAATGGATAGTTATATATATTTGGTGGTATGGAGTCTTCGTATTTTGCAATGTTGTGATCTTGGAGCCAGGCTTTGATTGCAGTTGAAAAGGACACATGTGCAATTTTGGAACCCTGGAATTTGAGAACCAGGCTCTCATTGCAACTGAAACCTGAGAACTAATTGTTGTTGGTTTACTTTTAAATCACACCTTTCATGGTTTTGGTGGTGTCAGACCTTCGGTTGGTCAAACTGTTAATGACAAAACACTTCAAAGAAGTAATGGAACAAAATGAGAAGAAATATAAAATTAAGGAGAAAAAGAGAAGGTGCGCTTCTCATTTGATCGCACTCAAGTAAAGCCTCTCAGGTGGATCTCTCAGCTGAATGCTAGCCCTTAGTGACAGGATCGCTCTAGATAAAGCAAGCCCCCAAGTGAAACCTCTCAAGTGAATCTCTCTGCATCACATCACAAGTAGGCAAAGAGGTCCGCAAAAAGCTACGGGGAAGGTTTTCACTGAATCAGGGTCACTGCCCTTTCTGCCCCCGCTAGCCGCTAAACCACTTTCTCTCTGTGATGAATTCCACCAGAACGCAACGACTCAGGACAAACTGAGCATGGATGATGGCAACAGCTTCTCTTATGCTGCAGTCTACCTGAATTACCCCCTGTAACATGGTTACACCGGCATAGACCTCAGATAGCGGGTGTATAAGAGGGGAAAGTCCCAATGTCTAAAAGTTTCCCTGGTCGTTGAGCGGGGCCAGGGGCATGGTTCACCTTGCCAAGGATGACATCATGTCATCCACCCTTATGGTGCCTGCACATTGATGCATCATGCCAGGGACGGCATCATGTCATGCCAGGGATGAAATCATGCCATGCCAGGGATGACATCATGTCATGCCAGGGGTGACATCATGTTATGCCAGGGACCAGCAACCACGCCCAACACAAAACGCCGATCCAGAAGCAGCAGCAGCCAGCAGCAGCACCCAGCACCCAGCACCCAGCACCAGCAGGGCCTAAACGAAACACAATCCCGCATCAGCACCAGCAGGGGCAAAGCGAAACACCGATCCAGAGCCACACCATTGAGAATCCCAATAGTTTGCAGCTATATCTGAACCTGCGACATTCGGCAAATCGGAAAAAACACATCGGAAAAAGCGCGAGGAACCAAACGGAGGCTTATAACTTATAACACTCTAACAGCTCAGACCCATTGGTCTGAATATGTCAGAATCCATGTCCATGTTTGCCATCTTCCTATTTAGGAAGATTTAGGAAGCACTGTTTGGTTTGCACAAATCCACATTCGACAAATCCACGTGTCACCGGGAGGTGTGTTTCTTGGGTTTCTATATTAGGAATTCCGAAATCAAGAGTCCTTCCAGGTCCAGGAAACCGAAACAATCGATACCCTCCATGAAACACTTAAACAAGATGAATGTGGATGGCCCCTGGAAAAAGCCCTGAAATCCGAGCCAAGAGAACCAAAGGATTCTGATGAAATACACTCTTCCAGGGAGGGTATCCTTATGTATCATTCCCAGACACGACCTGTCTGGGACTGGCATATTTACCGATCAGGCCAGGGGTGGTTGATTTCAGGGGTCAATGTGTATCTATAAATATATGCCATACTTCGAGTGTCTGGGCATGAAACACTTGGAGGCAAGGTATCATGTGTATGATAGTCAGGCGAACTGAACGAACTCCACCTGGTGTTGATGAGTGGTGTGTCTCCAATTCCCAGGCTTTGCAGGTGATGCACTTTGGGATCCGGGCAATCCGGGCCAATGCCCTAATCTGGACCAGTGGGTGGATCACTTGTCGTTGTCAAGCGTACCTACCAACTAGCAGCGGGCTCCCACAGTGGTCGCTCCGAATGAGTCTTAGGGAAGAGCTGGAAGGCGTCGCGGCCTCCGGCTCTGTACCAAGCATCACATGCATTCCATTTGCCCAATTTAAACACTCCATGTATGGCAATGTATGGCATTTCATTGACCCCCTTTTTCCGGAATATGTCCCATGCACTCCATGGGACTGGAATATATGCCGCCCCATTGACCCCCAAACCACCTCAATGGATCGGCATATATATATATATATATGGCAGTCCCATGTAAATCGCGTCGGTTTCTGCGAGTCCCAGACAGGTCGTGTCGGCTTCATTCTGGCTCCCCCACCTTGGCCAGCTGCCGTCGCAACTCTTCGAGCTCCATCTTCATGCGTGCCTGGGCGCAAGTTGCGCCTTCCGTGGACCTCGAAGACCCTCAGGTGGTTCAAGGCTGTTGGGTGAAAACCAAGGGATGTTGGTGCTTTCAATCCACTTGACAAATAATATATAGTTTGTATATAGTCAGTCGGTTTAATCATCCCAGTTAAGGGTTGAAAATAGAAATATCCGAAAACATCACCTAGCAATGGATTTGGTTTAATGGGCTGATGAAACTTCCGGTTCCAACGACTTGCAGACTTGGAACTTGGAGTTGCTTTCACCCTATAGATTTCGAATGAATTCGATCTTCCAACCTTTTGAATTGGAATCCTGGACTTCCCAGATGTTCACCCAAAGAAAGCGCTTTGGATCAGTTCCATGGAGTCGGGTGGGTTCATATAGACAAAAATCCGGATGGATGTGAAGATATGAAAAGTCTGGAAACCCGAAACCCCTCCAGTGCTGGGGTCAGCTGAGTTTCTTTCAAACCCTAGGGCTCCAACCCTCAGAAGGTGGTAAGACCCCCCTGGCACCTACCCCAACCAGCTTCGAAACGGAGGTAAGGCCGTGGAATTTTCTGAGACTTCCCATGTCCAACGTGGCGCAAAGCTGTTGGAAAAAGGCGATCCTCTGGGGATCCAAACTTGAGGGGCTACAGTGCAGCTTGTGAACAAACTGGGAGATGTGACAGCAGGGAAGGAAAAGAACCCAAACAGGAAATTTGAAAA